GGCCCAGATTTAATCCCAAATAAATCGCGATCGGACGGTTTAGATTTAATCTTGATGGACGGTTGAGATTAAAAGGCAAAGGGTATAAATAACCCCACCCACACCTGACCACAAAACCCTAGCCGCCAGTGCCTCGCCGGAGAAGAAGAACCAGACGCCGGAGGAGCCGGCCGCCGCCACCAGCCGTTGCACCAGAGAATTTTTTGACCGCCAGTCGAGGTAAATTTTCTCCCTCTGGATCATTTTTCGATGCTGAATCCGCCTATGGTCAAACCGGAGCCAAACCACCGGCCAATCGGCTGAAAAACCCCGCCGAAACCCGGCGGCACCGCCGCAGCTTCCCTCTGTTTTTGCCTCCGATGAGGCCCTTCCCGGTTTCCGTTCGATGCAATTTTTATACCACTGTGATCACCGTTCTTTTCTCTACAGGTTGACTGAAGCAAAACATCAAAATGCGACTCACGCCGGAGAAGCCGCCGCACCCGAGAGAACCACCACTGGTAAGTCTCAGTTTTTCGTGATTTTTTGGCCCACCGAGGGCCCTATGGTTATTTTATCGCAGGGACCAATGCAAGTTTGGCCGAATTCGGCCGAAAACGGCCAACTCGAGGTGTATCGCCGTCGCCGGAGCACGGCGGAGCTGCCGTGTCGGAATTCCGATATTGGCTGAAAGGGGCCCTAGGTCTGATTTGGGATTTTTTGAGACACGTGCAGTTACCGGTAATGTGTTTCAGTTTTCCGGATAAAAATTCAGAGAAATTAGGGACAGCCCGTAGGCGCACTGTAAAGCTGATTTCAGACCCCGAAATAAGTAAGGACCCCTCACTCTATTTTCTATCACGGTATTAAAACTTAATAAATAATTAAATGGTATTTTGTAACTTTATAGATGTAAAATTAATTGAGGTTACCAATGGAGCCCGAATCTGATACATTATTGGTCAGTTGTTGTTTGATATATTTTTCAATATTAAATGCAGTATGATATTTGATGTAATTATTTTATGATCTCCTATGCATGAATTATGGTTTCTTTTATTATGGTTTGTATTATGGTGAACCCGATAGTGTGTTGTCTTGTTTGGTGTCAATTACTGGTTTACATGTTTGTGTATGGTTGGATGATTGAGACTAAGAAAAAAAGATAAAAAAGATTATGTGAATTGATAAGTGGATAATGTGGACAACCTGACTAGATATCATGGGAGATGGTGGACGGACCGGGTCCGTAAGAAACCCTATCGGGAACGTGGTCTCTCATACCGGACGGGGTATGGAGACCTTATGTGTTTTGACACCCATACCGGACGGGGTATGGGGACGGCCGTTTCACCATCATACCGGGCGGGGTATCGAGGTTTATAGTCTTGACGCCCATACCGGACGGGGTATGAGGACGGCCCTAGAATCAGGTTATTAATGTTAATGGTTCACGTGTAGCGGAGACCCCCTATGGATCCCCATGGATACTAGTAGGCTGGTAAAAGAGAAAATTTATTGTCTGATTATTGAAGGGCAAAAGTAGGATATGTGTTCTGTTACAAAGTGTATATGATTTTATAATGATTATCATGTTATTATTTTCATAGGTTATTTTTATTAATATCACCGAGGTCAGTGGACAGTAAAGGTTTTTATGTTAATAAATGAGTTTGTTATAAATTATGCTCCATTGGTTGTTTTTGTTTTCTACCAACCTTTTTCTCTTGTGGCAGTGAGATAGTGTGATGTCTTTACTGGACTAGTGTAGCTCATTCCTTACTTCACCATTTCAGATCAGGAAGACGTGGTTCCCGAGCCTGTTCCGCAGGAAGACGGCGAGTTAGACGCCTAAGGACCTTATAGCTCTATTTATAGTTTTTATTTCAAGTATCTCTTTTAATTAGCTTATTCTTTCATGTTTTGAGTACGTTTTTTAGTTATTGTGTAAGAGATGTTAATCAAAATTTTTATTACTCTTCTGCATTTAATATTTTTAATACATAAATCTTCATTTAAATTCCCAGGCCGTTACATTACTGTTTGCATTGTTTACCTGATTGATTGATTTTATAGTTTGAATGCATGATAATACACTAAAATTTATATATTAACTCAATTGTGTTTCCCTGATGCATGTATTACTTGTCCTACGTGATTTATAGTTAATTGAAAAAGTGAA